GGTGTGGACTTCAACTCCCAGAATTCCGCAGCCAGCATAGCTGGCTGGGGAATTCTGGGAGTTGAAGTCCACACATCTTCAAGTTGCCACGGTTGAGAAACACTTGAAGTAGAGAGTAAGCAGTTGAAAATGTATTAAGGCATAGATGGTATGAATGGCTGTAGAAAAGCTCAGAGGAGAAGTGAGAGGAGCTTGAAAAGCAAACTCTCTCCATGTTTCTCCATATAACAATATCTTACAATATCTGGTTTTCAATTTGAACTAAGAATGTTTAAAAAAAATTCTATTTCAGTGGAATTAAAATAGTAATTGTCAAAATCAGTATCTGCCAAAATCACTATGGCTCTGTCATAGTACAGATAGTAAAGAAAATATAAATGAGCAGGAAAGAAAGGAATCTGTTAATATCTCATTATTCCTTTCTCAAAAATGCATATAAAGAAATGTGTCTGTGTGTATAACTATATTAAAATTAGTTATTTGTGTGTTTTATATTAAGACAAGCTATTTCTATTTTTAATTATTTTATTGTTTCTAGGATCAAATTCATACTTATGCACAAAGTTCATTCCCTGGAAAGGAGAAATCTCATTTGTAAATGGCATAATCTGTGATTACTTGCCACAGTGGAAATCTTTATCTGAAATCCGTCCAACTGGAAAATGAGCTGGAAAAGGCCTTACGTATAATGGAATTGCCTTCTATGCTGTTAGCTGCAGTATAAAACCAAGCGTGCTTCTGATTTTAAAAACAAATTGAATTAATCATATAGATTATTAATGCTGAATCTATCCTGACAATTCCTTTGAAATGTTACATCTGAAATACATTAGCATAATAACTTTGTGTTTAATTTTGCTTATTAATATGTTTTATTCTTATGATTGATCTTGCATTTATTTACCAAAAGAACAATTGCTGTGATCGATACCTTTTATTGGCCGTGCTGGTATTAGTATTATAACAAATTCTTTTCAAATGGATATTAGCCATTAAAGAGCAAATGTTAAGAAATAGACATGGATGCAAATCTTTTTAACCGCAAATCTCTACATAGTACATTTAAAAACTATTATAAAGTACTTGAGGGAGAATAGGTTTCAGTGTGAAAGTTACCTGTGCTATGAAAGCTTTATATATAGTGGTATTATGTTCTAAGCTGTTAGCCGCAATACAAAAACATTCAAATTTGAAGATCCTTTTAAAAAGAAACTATATAGATTATTCATGCTGAATCTGTGTTGACACTAACTCTGAAATGGCACATCTGAAGTAGTAGTGTCCCAATTTTGTGCTTATTTTTGCATATTAATCAAAGCATGATTTGTATTGTAACAAATCTCACATTTATTCACCAAGAGAATATAATATCTTTTATGGGTAATGCTGACATTAGTATTATAACAAGTAAATGAAATCCTTATTAAATAGATACTAACAATTAGAGCAAGTTTAAAGAAATATACGTTGTATATGAATCTTTTTAACAGAAAACCTCCATTCACATAGTACACTTGAGAATAATTAAAATGCTTGAGAGGGATTATGTTAAGTGCAAATTATACTTGTTCTTGGGCTAATCATTTCTTTTGTTGGTTCGGGATGGATTACACACAAAAAAATTTGGAACGTTCTTATAAAGCTTATTCTACAATAAAATTCTCATAAAACGTCTTAATGCCTCAAATCTCTTTTAATACTCAGTATAGTCTATTAATCATATATTTGCTTTTCTGTTATAGTCCAGAATGGATGAGATAAAGCCTTCGTTCATGTCCTCAATGTACCACCTTTTGAGGGCCACAGTTAAGTGTGTCTGTGTGTGTGTGTGTGTGTGTGAGGGGGGGGGAAGAAAAGGGGAAAAGAGAGAGAGAAAGGGAGGGAGGATATGGCTGCAGTGCAGTAGGTAGTGATGGAGCTCTGAGGCTCTGTCACAAATGAGCAGGAGTAGAATTTTCCATTTCTGATAAGCATTTTTGGAGACCCATGCTACAATTTTCCTCCGGTTTTAAAATGACAGTGCTGAGTTTTGGCAGTTGTGTGACTAAAACTCAGCAGTATATTCAGAGAGGGCTCCAGGGGATAGAGAACCAACATATAGGAGCTCCAAGGAGCCCTGGGGTTGTAGCCGGCCCGATCTGTTACGTAAATCGGATTTACACATCTTGCTCAAAAAAATGTGGCTTGTTTGACTTTGGCTTAATGAACTGTGTGAATTCAGCCACTGTGGCTTATTCAACAAACTATGATTAAAAAGCCATAGTGTATGACTGGTTTACCAATTCCTATAATCCAAATTTGCTGTGATCTGTTCATCTTGGTTTAGCCAATTATATGAAAGCATTACATGAGGAAATCTGGTTAACAGTGCAGCATCCATTAGAAGGTGCTGCTGTCTTGCCTCCTATAGCTTAATCTTATAATCAATATGATTTTTGTTTCTGGTTACTAACAATGGAAATGAGCTGGGAATGAAGAGAAGCAGCTGAAACAATAGACTAAAACAGTATTTCTCAGCCTTGGCAACTTTAAGATGAGTCGACTTCAACTGCCAGAATTCCCCAGCTATTATGGCTGTCTGAGGAATTCTGGGAATTGAAGTCCACTCATCTTAAAGTTGCTAAGGTTGAGAAACACTGGACTAATATATGACAAAGCATATTTGGAATGGATTCATCATGTAAATAAATTGAAATCAACACACATACTACTATTCTGTTTTAGTTGTTTTGCTGATAGTTGACTGCATGGATGAAAACATTCATTGCCTTGTGTGTGGATTCCATTTGAAAATGACAAAAAGTGTCCAGTTTCCTTCATGTCCAGTATCAGCTACTGAACTTCAGATCTTTGATTCAGAACCTTTAGGAAAATAAGCATTGAATCTTAACTCTACCACCTGCATTGAGTCAATTTGAAAGCTGCTGACTTTTTTAATTCAGTAGAAATAGAATCTATGAATGAGATCTGAATCTGGTTCCATCTGCTGGTCATAAAAGGAAGTACCTGAGAAAAATATGCAAACGAGAACTTTCTACTGTATATTCAACTCCAAAAGCAACCCATAGCTAAAATATACTTTCCAGTATTTGCATGCATGTTCATTAATACTTTAGTTTTGCACATAAGAAATATTCAGAGGAATAGAAACCTAAGAGATTGTTCCAAGATATATGCAACAAATACGGAGAATGAACTTAAAATGAGGGGACACAGCTTTGATGAATTATGACCATTAGTATGAGTATGGAATGCATTTATGAATCGGGATAGTAAACGGATTTGTGAAGTTTTATCAATTTTGTTTAAAGTGAAGTATATTGTTGCAGTATTATTGATTTGATTTTAAGTGATTTATAGTGTTGAAAGATATTGCTGTAAGCTGCTTAGAGTTGTATGATTGAAGTGGCTTAAAATGATTGATTTTGTAACATAAATAGTTGTCATTCTCCACATCATACTTACATCTATGTCTGAACATGTGGAAATTTGAATGTTTATACTAACAGAGGACAGATCTCTTTTTCTGGACTTTCATTAATTTTCAGCATGTTTAGGAAAATAATTAAAAGTCAAGTAAAGAAAAATTCAGAAAAGTATCTATCTGGAATAATATTTTTGGGAGATTTCTAGACAACTGATAAGGAACATTCACTTTCCTTGAATGCCTTCAAATTCCCATGCAATAGCCACATAAGCATTATATCCTTGGATAGCACACTTTGTTAATCCCAAGCAAATCTAGGGGTGGAATAATTGTACAGCTTCAATCCCAGGTTCAAATGTACCTTAGAGGTCTGATCCAATCTCTGATTCTGCTGTTCCCAAGACCATTATTATACCTGAATATCAAGTCCATTCACAAAGAACTGTTGCTTATGTTGTTGCAACTGTGCATGGTCTCTCTTTAGTAATGTAGAATTTGTTTACACACATGCTACTGTACATTTCTTTACTGGATGTTGGACACCCTTCCTGAGCCTGATGTCATTCAGATGTGTTGGACTGTAAATCTCAGAAATTCTGGGGGTACCTGTATCTTGACACATCTGGAGGAGACCAGCTGGGGAAGTCATGTTGAACAGCATAAATCTGTATGCATGTTGCATGTGTAGCATAGATGTGCGTAATCTTCCATTTTAAAAAAATTGGAGGTGGCTAGATTGATAGAATTTAAGTATGCCATGACAGAATATTTAAAAAAAGATAGTGAAGCAGTATTTGGGTTCATAGAAAGGAATTTAGTGCTCATGAATTTGGATTATCAGAAATCTCAGTGTTTTCCAGTAGCTGAGATTTGGGATTGATTTGTACAGCAGCTAGATACGAAAAATAAAAATAAAAAAAATCTGGAAGACGGCAATGGCAAGCCACTTTTGTATTGCTACCAAAACCCCCCAACATGTTTGAGTCCATAAGGTCATCAGAAGTCAAGCTCAGCTTGAAGGACACTTTATTTACTTCTTCTGGAAAAGCAACACAAACCCAATTTGCCAAACCAAGCCAAGCTAATTTTGAATTGATCAGGGAAGCATTCTAAACTGGACCCAGAATTTGGCAGTTGGATGGATCTGGGGAAGATATAAAGTTGGGAGAGAAAAAGTTAAGGAGCCACCATCCAATAGCTATTTAAAAGATTATTTAAAATTGACTCCTTGCAACAGCTGTTCTTCATTTTCAAGAAGTAAAAAAAAGCAGTTTTGATATATACATACACTGGGATTAGCATACTAAACATTGCAATTATGTAGCAATTGAATAACCACTAGATCAAATGATCAAATATTAAATGCTGACACATTTCTTACAACTTTATGTATAATTTTTAATGAAAATAATTCTTATAGAAAAAAAGACAAGGAACAGCGAAGATTTCCAACTGTATGGGCTATAAACAGAAAATATCCCATGTAAGTTCTCAACATGCCAGCATTTGTAAAGCTTTCAAATTTTTAGCTGCTGCTAATATAAGTTATCAAATCAAATTCAAAATAAAACACTGTTTATAATTAAACATTTTAATATACACTCTTTACAAACTGCAATGAATTGAAAATGCATAATTACAATAATATCAAGAATTTACATTTGCCTCCAAACATTTAATAAAACACTACACCTATTTTTGCAGCGGGTATGTCTTCCACTGCCGCTTCAAAGGAAATATAGAATAATCATGCTACATCATTTTGTAAAAAAAAAAAAAAAAAAAGTTTTAAAAAGCTTCAGGCCTATTGGCTGATTGTCTACTACAAGTTCAATTTAGATATCACCCACCATTGGTATGCCAAAAACTAGACCCTAGGGATGTCACTAAAGCCATGCAAGCCAGCGCATTCTGCATCTGAGTTACCAAAATAAATACAATAATAAAATAGTTCCATGACCCAGGAACAAATGGCAAAAAGATATGTGGGACGATCAAGTTAATTAAGATCAGGTACAGTGTTTTTGTGCTGGGGGGTGGTGGAACCCAAATGTTTACCTATAATTCAGTAGTTTATAGCAATGCAAAGCTCGTAAATTAAACTTGTAGCTATAAGTCTCCTAGCTGGTTGAACTTTTGTGTCTCCTCCAGCCTTTTTATTGTGGCATAAGCCCAGTCTCCCAGCCGCTAGGAATTCTCATTCTTGAAACAGAAACTTATTCAAGTTCAGAAAGGAAGCCTCTTAAAATGAACTCCAACACTCTGTGAGGCTTGATCTTGATCTTGAGGAATGAATAGTGAAGAATACTTTTTCATTATTTTTTTTACAAAGAACTCTTATTAACTTTGAACCATGGAACCTTACTTTGCAGATAATAAACCTCCTTGCTTGTGCATTACAGTGCCCATTAACATACACTCTTTGAATGCACTGGATGACTGTTCGCTTGTGGTGTAGAAGGTTGGGTGCGCCCAAGGAGAATTACACTGCATAGTTTTGGCCTGTCAATTTTTTTAGCAAACAAACAAACAAACAATGAGCAGTGCAGAGACATCTGCAAGGAGTTGAAAAAAGTCAGGATGGCAACCTTGATCACAAGATTAAAGCCCTGTCCTTTTTACATTGTGACGCTTGTCAAAAAAGGGACAGGGCTTTGATCTGAGGTTGAGGCTGCCATCTTGACCTTTTTGATGCACGGATCCCTCCTGTGGACAACACCGGGGCAATAGCTTGGCTGACCAACCTGGATGCTAAATCAGAAAGTAGCAAGTCTATCCTAGCTTGTATAATCAACCAGGGCAGACGGACCAATTTTCTGCTAGCCAAACACATTCTGTGTAACTTTAATTAATTTAAATATTAGATATTATCACTTTGTGTCATTTTCGATGTTATACTTTAAATAATTTTAATGTCTACTTTATAGTTTAAATATAAACTCCATCCTGGACCTCACTCATAGATGTTAGGTTGTTTTGTAAATGTATTTTAACTGTCTTAAATTGTATTTTGTTTATTATCTATTATCTATTTTTCTGAGCAAAACAAGACTGAATTATAACAACAACATTGCTTTTATTTTCAATTTATGAAAAGAACTTGCATATTCTAAAGCCTTCCATTTTTTGTTAATATTCACAATTGCTATGAAATAAAATAATCAGACGATTATATCTATCAAACTTCATCTGAGGTAGAATATATGTAGTATAATACAAATACTTTGCTTTAAAAATAATTACACTATTATTCAAAGCCTCTAATATCAATATGAAAATTCTGAGCTAAGTAAATCTACTTAAAAGTATATCCTGCTAAGTTCAATAGGACTTGCTAAGAGTTCATAGAGCCACTTTCTTATTTTAGAAGACTACAGGATAATGTTTAGTGTTTTCCACAAAATAATATTTTATGACTTCTCTACTAGAGCACATGGTTTTGCTTTCAGAAAGGTATGTATTATTTAAATTATAGTCTGTGTGTACACAGGCAGTTAACTCTCACATTATTTATAGTTTCATTTATTCCAAATATTTTATGTTCCTCCTGTGCCAGGCTTGATATATTTCACTCCATCAAGCTTGAATGTTGAAATACAAGATGGAGTCAGTATCTCTATCTATCTATCATCCATCCATCCATCATCCATCCATCCATCCATCCATCGATATGCACACACACTATCCAATCAGCAATCGTTACATGAACAAATAAAAAAGACTTGTGCTAAATAATTTATAGTGTGAAGGAAGCGCCATTAATTAAAATATTAATAATAAAGATGGTTTAAATTACACTGCTGCAATCTTGTAGAAATCTAGTAATTCACAGTTAATTAACTAACCTTATTCCCAGGCAGAGAATCAGCAGTCTTGAGGATCCAACTTAAAACATTTATTCAACCATGTTCTTGATGTGGAACCTTGAATTAAGTGAGGGAATGTAAATCATAGCTAAAGTCTCTTCATGTTTTACAGATTGCAAAAGTGGCGTTCTGAACATGGTTTCCTCCTCACCAAGAAACGAACAAAAACTTCCTCACACGTTCTGAAGCAGTAATATTTGTTTCAGTTCCTTTGAAGCTACCTCATTTTAGCACATGTAAAAGGTGAATAGGAGCTACAAATCGTTGCCCAGCTGGAGTCACAACCAGCCTTTTCAGAGTGTTTCCCACATCTGTTTGGACTCAAGTGTAACCTTCATGCTCCACAAAATAAAATTTATATTCATACTATGGCAAGCACTGTTGTAAGTAATAGCATAACTGTACCAAACAGTGTTGCTGCATGCAAGATGAAACTTCTCTTGAATGCAGGAGGACAGGCAGGGGGAATTGCAGTCCTCCCATTGCTAGTGAATCAGATCCATGTACCATTTTCATTGGTTGTATTGACTGAGGCTGTTGGAAGTTCCAATTCAACTACATCTAGAAGACCACATATCCCTACCCAGGCTGATATGACATAGAAAAATGATTATCCTATATTGCCTATTGGAATGTGACGGTAGAAGTGGACCATCTTTTACCAATTGGAGAGCAGATCATCTTTACATTTGAGTGGTTTTTAATACTATTTAAACACATCTTTTAAAAAAACACACATTGTTTTCCATTCAAGCAATAGGAAACTGCACCCCTGTTTCTTGGACTTCGCTACTAAGTATTAGAGACACAACTTCTACGGTTCTTTGGACCTGTAAAAAAGTATTACAGAGTTTCATACAGCCCTCATGGCAATGAGTTGCCCACCCATGGGCTATTATAAAGGTGATATTAAGAATATGCTATTCAAAATCCCATAAAACTCGAAATGGAAGTATAATGCTGGGAGTTGGGTTTGAGTTCTGATGACAACTCTCATCGGCTTTAAGAGCAATACAGTACCAGATTACTAGAAAGATTGAAACCATTTATGGATGTTTTTGTCATGCAGGTAATATGATAGACAAAAAGTGCAAAGGCAGTATGTTTCCTGATCCAGACAGTCTATTAATGGTTATTTTAGCCAGTTATTCAAAATATATATGGCCACCTCGATCTAGGAAAGCTGAGCAGAGTACTTCCATCTGTTGCGGACAACCTTCACATTGTTTCTTGGATGGTGAGTCCAAAGATATGAGTATCTCATGAGTTGCTTTCTTGCCATCCATGTGCATTTTTTCCAAATTTGTACACTAATCTCCTGTCAACTCGTTCCAAAATTCCAGTTTTATAATAATATCTGCAACAACAACATTGAAATGGGAATTAGAGGCCCCTGTACATTATATGTAAATGCCAATTATTAATATGATACATTTGGTTTTGGCAAAGCAGGGGCTTCCACACACACAGGCACAGGTCATACTTAATTGTCTCAGAGCTTAAAACTTCCCCAGATATCTTGGAATTCAATTCCCTTGGGCCATACATTTATTTTTCTAACATTTCTTTTTATTCTTCAGAGTAAAATTCTCAGGTCGTTGCTGAGCAAAATGGAAATGTAGGAGTATTAAATTTTATATGTGTGAGTTAGGCTGGCAAACACTCTAGTGATGAATATATAATTTTTTACTCATTTTCTCCAACCACATATCTGGTTGCAGCATTATCCCACCTCTAATCCCACGTGTTTGATTATCTTTGGAATCAGGTATGCTATATTAAATTGGGCAGTAATTTTTATTTTTATTTTTTAAATGTATATGCTGTCCCTCAAAACTAAGTTTACCCAAGCCAGCTCACAGTACATGAAAATGAAATAAAATTGTATTTGTTTTGCAACAAAAGCAAAACAAAATGAAACCAAAAAATCATGAAAATCAATGCCCACCATACCACGTTGAGCAGAGCTTTTCAGAGTTGGGTAGCTGCTGCTGAAGACCTGTCCCTCAATAACCACTCAGCTTAGGAGGACACTAAGAGCAGAGCCTCTGAAGATGACTTTAGGGTATGGTAGGAACATATGGGAAGAGATGTTCCTTTAGATACCATGAAGGGCTTTTTATAAGCTAATAAGGCACTTGAATTGGGTCTGGAAATGGCTGGAAGCCAAAGAAGATTGCATAAAAGTGTTGTAACATATTCAAAATGCCCATTTCCTACCAGCATTAGATATGTCTTCTTAAAGTATTAGCTTACCGGAGTGCTCTGCTTAGCTTTTCATAGGTCATTCTGTCATTTTTTTTCCTTTGTCCCCACATTTTTGCCAGAGCATCAGATTTGATAACACGAAAGATGCCTTGGTCTCTGTCTTCCCATTCAAGGATACCAGAGTTCTCCTCAGGGGACAGAAGAAGATCTCGTACAAATTCCCATAAGTGAGAACTCTGCAGACCTTCAGGAATGAAAATGAATAGATGATAAGTAATGTTTTTCTGTGGAAAATTATCAGGTTTTGGAAAATGCTATCTGGGTTGTAGAACAATGATGCATCTAAGAGGAATAGTATGCCTGACAGCATACCAGTAAGGCAGTCTAGCATTGGTTGCCACCAATGGTTATGCATAGTCAGGAAATAGAACTAGATGACACTGAGACCAAATTCCTTTGCTTTACAATATAACCAACTACGAAGGATACAAACCTTGAAAGAAAAAGCCACTGCATGTACAGTGGTACCTTGGGTCACGAACGCTTCTGTTCACAACCAATTCGAGTCATGAACAGCTCCGTTCGCAAAATTTTGCTTCCGTTCGCGAATGGTGGATCGGGTGACGAACAGGATCCGCGGCCATCTTCCCTCCCGTGACACGTGGTCGTGGCTTCCTGTAGGAAGGGGGATTCTCCCTCCAAGCAATAACCGCCTCCCCACCCGCCTTCCTGTTCTCCATGCCAGAAGTCGCCTCGAGCAAGGTTAGCATTCTCTCTCTTCGTACTGTATTTTGTTTCATATTTTTGTGGTTTTAAAAAAAACATACATATG